AGATCTACTGCTATTTGAATGTGTTAATTTCAAGTCTTGTCCATGTACAAGATTGTGATGGACAAGAAGTAGACCTTACAACTTATGCATCTAAGTTCTCTCTTGGCCCCCAGATCACCTTCACAGTGCAACAGCTTGAACTGCTTTACTGAAGGGATCATGATCACACTGATTGTCTTTTAGGTTGGTTGCTTACGTTGGGGATGTTAAAAAATAAATTTCATCATATTGCTTTATTTTAATCATATCCAAAATATTGTGGCACTGTGAAGGATAATTCAAGAATACTGCAGGAACGTTTCAGGCATTCTGAAAACTTTTACCAGCTAAATTCTCCTGGAGCTGGAAGTTGGAGTGTAGAGAGGACTCTGTCCTCAGGATTTTTGTCAGTTGTCTTCTATTTATTTTAAAATAATGTTAACAATTCAGTGCATGTTAAACTGAAAACTTCAGTCTTCTGTAACTTCTCACCTATTGATATTTGTGCCACTACTATTAATTAGTATTACTTGTTTTCAGGGTAAGCTTTTTTCTTAAAAGTTATTTTGTGTCAAAATATTTAACTTTGAAATATGAGTAAGCTTAATATTGCTGAAATAGAATGGCTTGTTTCTTTTCTAGCTGTGCAGGACACATTCATGCAATGCTCTTTCAGAAATCCTAGGTCCAGAAAAAGTAGCACTCTACATCAGTGCCTCTGGTTGTTACTGTGGGGAAAAAAGTTAATACACTGCTTCTCTCTCCTCTTGGGATTGATACAGGTGAAGTGACCTGTTGCTGCTGACCCCTTCTGCTCACAGATTATCATATGCCCAAGGAGGATAGCTTTTTTGTTTGTTGTCTGTACAGTTCATTTTGGAGACATAATGCAGCCTGCATCACCACAGAAGAGCTCTTTTGGTCTGTTAATGACTGTATCAAGTTCTGTTGACTGATAGAGATGTGTATGTTGCCATAGAATGACGTTTGGTATAATTAGGAGTGCAGGTATTGGGAGTAGTCTAGTGGCATCAGTCAGGATTGTCCCTTGGCTAAAAAGTGGGTGCTTGCTGCACTGCTTTGACTTCTTAGTCTCTTATGGCTAGAGATGGCTTGGTGTTGTGGCAACAATATTACCTAGATAACAGCGAGGAATTACTTCTCCATGTAAATGAAGGAGGTTGAAATACAAAGAGCTTATTCTCTTTGTTGTTTTCCAAATGGGATAAGACTGGTTACCCTCTTGCATCGCTCAGATCCAACAAAGTGCATCTAAGTAACAGGCAAACTGGTGTATGCTGGTTAACAGCAGTGAAAAAAGAACATCTCTGTATCAAATCTGGATGTTTAGTTCATAAATTAACTTGTACCAGCTTCACTGAAAGTTAGCATTATCAGAGTGCCAGTTTCTTTATGTTTAGCAATCCATTGGTGGGATTTAAGCCAGTCAGCTTTTGAAATGTTTGGGGATAATTCAAAAAGTAACATTTTAGCAATTCAGTGCTACTACGTGTTAAGTTAATTAAACACTAAGAATTGAAGATGGGCAAATCATCAGAAAGTCTAGATTCTTAGAAGGTCAGCAGTTCCACTCTTTTTTTTTATAATACATAATAGTAAATGCAGTTTCTGAATGTCAGCATTCATATGGTTCAAGAATTACAGCTTCAAACTGGTTTAGGTACGACCAATATTATTTTTTTGTCCCTAGTGACAAAATTAACTGGTTTAAATGCATTACTTGCATCTGAGTGTGTTATGTTCATCATGGATTGGAATTTAGAATTCTTACAGTGAATCATTATTTTGGCTTTTTATTAGTACAGGAGGAAAAAATAAATAAATAATGAGTGTGACTTGTAAGCAATTTCACAGGTTTTCTGTTGACCTAGTGCAGGAAAGTTGTTAAATTTCTCATCACCTTGTGAAACCAGGTCATCTAGCTAGAGAAATTGGTTTTTAATGTGTGAGTTACTGTCCCCAAGGGGGAGAAAAAAACCAGCAAGACTTCTCTGCAAAGACCTTCTTTGTTTTGAATGATGTCTGAGTGAATTCTGGATTACTTAAATTTCTTGCAGTGTAAATAATTCTGTTCCTTAATGATAATACAGCATATATTTTCCTCTCTTAGATCATGCATGCAGTGAAAGAACTTTCTCAATTTTATGGTATGCAAAAATGTGAGAGATTGTTAGGATATAATTTAAGATACGGCTTTTTCCCAAAAGAAATTACCTTCTTAATGAATGCTATCCTGTTTCCATATCTGTCTATAAAATTACAAGAATGTACATTTAGAAATGTTCCTGAGTTACTGCTTATATGGTACATATATTTCAATTATGCTGTAATTTTGGCCTCTACTGGCATTCTGTAAAGTTATTTGTTATTTCTGTCAACTTCTGTTTCTAATGCTGCTGCTCCCATAAGCAAATTGACTTGGATGAAATCATGAACCCCTGCATGGTTTGTGTGATTAGTGTGTTTCAAAAAAACCCGTTGTTCTGGCTCGTGTTTTGGAGCTGTGTAGTTGTCTCTCTAAAAGTCAATATGGCTGCTAGTATTTGACATCCTTTCTGGAAAATATCCTAAAACTGAGTTTTTTCAAGTTTAGACTAGAATCAGAGTTAATATGTTTGTTTGTTTCTTTGTTTATTTACAATCTTCTCTCTCATGTGCAATCAGATGGTTGGAAAACATCTGCTGCTCCTGCTCAGGTTTTCGATCTCATGAATTTGCTAACTAATCTTCTGGTTCAACAAATCCATCTTGTTTGTTCTTATCTGTGGTCACTTTTTCATGTAAAAGTCATTACAATTTTTCTTACTGTTTCTCCATCTTTTTCCAAAGATCAATCTTCAGTGCCAACAAAGGTGGAAAAAATTACATTTATTATCCATTTTGGCTCTTCTGAGTATGTTTTACAAATGTACAAATCCTCTTCACCATCCTAAGGACTTTAAGGTTATGAAGTCAAGCAGGATGTAATGAGGAGAAATAACTTTTAAGTCTGGCTGGTGCTTGTAGCAATTAATCTACTCTTTGTACATGCATTATCTGTGTGAGATAGTATTTTTATTGCAATACAGCTACTGCTTTGACTTTGCTCACAGCGTTTAGCTTGCAGCAAATAGCTTTCTGCAAATCTGATGCTGGGTCAGAAAAAGATACAGCGAGCATTTGCATGAAGTTGTATTTTGTGACCAGCTTGCCAGTTTGTAGGACTTTCGATACCTTTCTATTTGATACCATTCTCTCTCTGAGATAAATTGTTCATTCATTGCAAATCATCTCACCTGAGAAATAACAAATATATAAAAGGTTCTGTAGACAAGCTCCTGAGATCTTCCTAGTATAGTGTTCTATTGTGAATTGGATGATTTGGGGCAAGGAGAAGGAACACGGGGATGGAACAAAAAAATCTGTCATGTAATGCATGCACAGAAAAGGTATTGAACTGAGGCAATTTACATTGAACTGATTTGCTTTTCCTAAATTTAGAGGGTTTGGTAATATTTCTGTCTTTATATGCACAAGTGTACATCTGTGTGTGGTACATGCAAAGAGAAGGAGAAATACTATAATCCTATTGAAGTAAATAAGAACTGACTATTTGGTGAGATCAGGATTTTACCAGCTTTGTAGTGTGTCCACAGCCTCCCCGTCTTTTTATGTAATACCACTAACTCCAGACTTAAAGCACTCTTCATGAAGTTTTTTGGAGGAAGGAAGGCAGGGACATTTGTTTTGTCAAAATGGAGTTTATTCCTTGTGTCATAATTGCCTCATAAGTCTACTGTCTCCAACATCTGTTAAATAAAGTGAAATGTTGAAAGGGTTTCCTTCGTTGCCTTATGCCAACTACACGCATGGGTAAATTGTACCAGTGATGCTGACTGATGTGGTTTGTGCTAGGTGTGTACCCCTTCCATCTCACCCGCCAGAGGGTCACTGGTGAGACCCTGTATGCTGCCATGTAGCTTGCATTCTTCTCTGACAGAAACTTGGTAGTAAGTAGGGTCATAGTTGTGCTATCTTGGGAAATTGATTAGAGAGAAATCATAGCATTGGTAAGTGTTGGAGACGTGGGCAAAAAAAGTTTAACTACCTCACATGGTTGGCTGATGGAGATGGGTGGGCTCTTTGGAGCCATAGCTTGCAGCAGATGCAGCTGAGGCAGCCCGTGCTGAGGGTGGCAGAGAGTGTAGTGGTACAGAGGGTCAACAGTGGAAACCAAGATATGGGGTCTTTTGAAGCTACTGAGACCAGTGTCCTGGGAGAGGAGGTAATGAATAGTAGGAAAACTGTTCATGAAACTATTTTGTTCTTTGATATGAATTTAGTTCACAAATGCCTCCACATGCTTACTTGGTTTGGAACCTCTTATATTTTTTATTTCCTGTCCACGCTTTCTTTGTGTGTGTGTGATACCCCATTCCTGTTGTTCTGAATTTAAAAAAATCTCCTCAACTTCCATAAGTTGGTTTACTCTTTAAACATGTAATTTTGCAACACAGTAGGTGATTTGATAATCTACTGTTGACATGTGATTTGTAAATAATTGGGGAGGGGAGTGGGTGATGGCAGCTTTTCAACTTTTATTATGCCTAGAAATTGCTGTAAATCCATAAAATCTTGGGAATTAAATGTTACCTATTATAATTTTCTTTCCATTTCTGTAATATCTTTTCCCGTAGAGTATAACCATCTTGAGAGAGGCAAAGGAAAAGTACGGTGTCAAGTATGAGTACTAAAATGTAGTACATGTGTTCAAACACTAACCTATTAGGTGTCTATATAAATAGTTGACAACTTTTCCTAAACCCCTGTCTGCAGTCTTAAAATTACGTGCAGTGAAAAACAAACTTTTTAGGAAAGCTAATGAAATATGGGGAAGATGCCATTAAAATGGTAAAATGCTCAGTACAAGTACTGTATATGCAAGTGGGGAATATGGTATAAGGAACTCTAGTTGATCCCAAGGTTTCTAAAGCTTACAAAATACATTAATGTTATTTCAGCTGGGAAGTTTTGAGGTTCCTTCTGTCTAATTTGAGAATGTGGATTGAAGACTATCGCTTTGATGGATTCCGATTTGATGGTGTTACATCTATGCTGTATCACCATCATGGGATTGGTGAGTAATTTAATCAGCTCCAATCACAGCAGTCCTGTTGCAGCTCGGTTGGTGTGGAAATAGTGCTGTAAAGTTCACTGAATGCTCCAAAAGTTCCAGGTTTGCTAATATCTTGTTGTGCTGCTATATGGATAGATCTGAAATTATGAATAAATTTGGTATTTATAAAATTGCGTATTGCAAAGTATCTGTGTCTTTTTAAAAAAGTGACTGTTGCATTTAAAACTTCCTGTTTTACTAGGCACAGCATTCAGTGGAGATTACAATGAATATTTTGGCCTACATGTGGATGAAGACGCTTTGTGTTACCTAATGCTGGCCAACCACATGATTAATTTCTTGCATCCGGAATGCATAACCATAGCAGAGGTAAGATCAGAATTTGCCATCCTCAATGACATTAATATTGATTAGTTTGCTTTGGGATGTGAATTTCCTGTTAATTATCAAGTCACACTTCAGGCACTCAAGTGACATGAGCTGAGAAATGTTAATTAGTGGACAGACTTTGCCTTGTGGGGAAAAACAACTGGAATATGCACTTTGGGAATTTTCTCTGCAATAATGGGTCTTTAATTAATGCGGGGTTTTCTTTTTTTTCCCTTCATCTCCTCGAACTTGTAATGAGATTTGTTTCTGTTAGGTTATTGCTTTTGCATGATTGCCATTTGTCACTAGTGATTAACGGTACTAAAGATTAACAGCCCTAGTGTGGTTTTGCATATTTTGAATTACATTGGCATAATTGACAATTCCCCTTCAAAATAAATTCAATAAATTGACAAATGTTGAATGCGTATGCTAATTTAAATTTAGTATTAAGTTTCTCCAGGTTTCCGAGGGAGTAAATAGACTATATTACTTGATTGAGATCAAATAAACTTTTTTGACAGGAAAATATTATTGTAGGCACATGGAATTGTGAACAGTAAAAAACACCAGAACATTAAAGTTCTATGAATAGGTACATTTTCACTGATATTTTCTCTTTCTTTAAAAGAGAAGTTCATGTAAACCTTGAGGATTTTTCTGTTACTATGCTTAAATAATTCTTTTCATTAAAAAGAAAAGGTTGCATCTATCTGATATCATTAGGTACTATATGGATTTCTAATAAAAATTTCTGTATTGCTTAAGATTTCCCTACTTGCCTTCAGAAAACGAAATACCGCTTAACTTCATTTCTTACTTATGGTGAAATTTTATGTTACAGACAACCACTGCTAAAAGCTTAATGACAAGCTATCAGAAACAGCATCTGGTGAGCAGTCACTAGTAAAGTTGAGGTGGTTTCATTGAGCTGTAGGCTTATTTGAAGTGAAGTTTGTTCATTTTCTATGTAGTCTTAGGTTATAAGCATTCCTACCAATGAAATTCTGAGTTCAGTCTGCTTGTATTGCCAGGCTTAAGAGTTCTTTTTTAATAAGATGTGTCTTCCATTTCTCTTGCTTGAGTTGAAAACTGCTTCAGTTTCAATACATCATTTTCTGCCTGGGGGCGTCACTACACAAAATATAGAATTGATCAATGTACTGCATGGTTAAAGGAGAATTTCAGAAGGAGAAACTACTGACATAATTGAAAATTATAAAAAGCAATGAAGAATGTCTGCTTGCCTACAATGATGATGGAATGAGTGCCACATAAGAAAAAAGTTTTTGTCTAGCCATAACTAATTATAATATATTCCTTAATTATTTAACTGACAATTTTTAAAGCTTTTTAATATTCTGTATATTCACTGTCTTAGAAATTACTAAGTTTTTTGGTATTACTGACTATATGCTTATTTTTCATTTTGACCTTCTAAATAAAGCTGTGGTTAAAGTTTTGTATAATGAGAAGAAAAAATGTTAAGTAAAATTACATTATGCTTGAAGTCTTATAAAAACAAACGGGGAAAAAAAACCCCTACTGATGTCATTTTTTTAATTTTTTTTTTTAATGCAGCTCATTTCAAACTAAGGTCTGAACAAATGCTTTGGCATTGGCTGTTTACAGTTGGTGGAAAATATACTACACAAACTATCGTTGAATTTTATTTTATTTTTCTTTAGTGTTCTGGTAAAATCTGTGGATATAGATAGATATAAATAGTATTTAATTTGGCATTTTACTTCCCCAAAATCTGGCTTTCAAAATTGTGACTAAAGCAGATGGGAGCTACTTAAATCTCAGTCTCAGACCTTGTCCAGGTAGGCATCATAGCATCACAGGGAAGGGCTTTTGTTTCAGGTCATCTTGTCCTGCATAACTTGGAGAGTATTAGTCTGTTTGTATTCTTTCTGACTGATTTAGGAGAGCTATTGAACTTCCTTTTAGAATATCTAAAAGTTTGGAAAGAATTTCCGCTTCATTATTTGGTATGTACAACATGTGGAATGTGGATGCAGTTTCCTGTGTGATCTGATGACTGCTGGGTAAAGGGGGATAGTCCCCTCCTTTGATCTCCTGGCTTTGCTGTTCATACAGCCCAGGATGCTGCTGGCCATCTCTGCTGCCAGGGCAGGCTGCTGGCTCAGTCCCCAGCCTGTATGGATGCAGGGGTTCGTCCATCCCAGGGGCAGGATTTGACAATTACCCTTGCTGAACTTCTGAGTTCCTGTTGATGGATTCCTCCAGCCAGTCAGGGTCCCTCTGGATGGCAGCCCTGCCTTCTACCTCCAGGATGCCATCCACGATCTTCATGATGATGTGGTTGGTCTCCTCACTTATGTCAGTATGGGGGCGGGGGGGAGGGTATCTGTATATATGTATAACTTCAAGTGCAAATATCTTTTTCGCTAGTCTGATGCAGCAATTGGACTGAAAACTGGATTGAATCCAGAAAACCAGAATGAGCTTCCTAATTAAGCCCTGGTTCTAGTCAGAATTTAATTCCATAAATTCTCTTGAGTAGACACAAGAGGTGTATGTTAACCCATAACGACTGTGGTGGAATGGCTTCTCACTGACATAAGTTAATAAAATTGAGTACTGATAGATATTTTGCAGTTACTGGAGATTTGCATTTTCTATACAGATAAGCTAACTTTAGAAAAAGAATGCTATGTGGCGTAATTGCCTAATGAAATGGTGAAATAAATATTTTAAGAACTTTGAATTATGAATTTAAGAATGATCAGCCTCCATCAATATGAAACTGGAAAATTATGCAGTTAAGAGCATGTCACTTTCCAGGGCTAGCTGGATCAATAGTTTTGGTTTTGTGCATTTAGGAAAAGAGTAGAGATTGTATGTTTCTTCCTTACTGTACTTTATATTCAGCCTTTTATTTTTATGCCATTCTTTATGCAAAATATCAATAAACAAAATGAAGGTTTAATTTGTCTTTCATTGACTACTTTCTACTTTCTATTGATTACTTGGAGCTCAAGAGAGCTAATTATTTCAAATTCTGCATCTACTGAGCTCTCTTCCCTCTCAAATATCTACTCTATTAAAATATTTTGTACTAGAGTATTTGATGAGAAAAGTCATAATGCTTTTTCCTGGAACTTTTGCATTCAAACAGCAAATGTGAGTGTAGTAATCGCTGATTTTTATGTTTTTATTTTTTTCTCCCTTACCCAGGTCAATCTGTGAAGCTGTTTATAGTTTACAGAGTATTTGTATACGAGTATTATCGTACGGTAGAAAATCTGAAATAATAATTGCAATGCTATGCAAATTATGTTGTGGGTTTTTTTATTTAAGGATGTTTCTGGAATGCCAGCTCTTTGTCGTCCTGTTGCAGAGGGAGGAGGGGGTTTTGATTATCGACTAGCCATGGCTATTCCAGATAAGTGGATACAGGTGAGAACTTTTAAAAAATATGTTCTGCTTTTCAAAGTGGGATGTTTCTCTGTCTGTGCATACACAAAGCCACTTCTGAATCCTACTGACAAATTTTACTCTCTCTTCTGTTAATGTCCTATTAAAAGAAATTCTGACAGGCTTGAGTACAGGTATTAGTGGCTGAAATGAGAGCTGTCAGATACTCATCTTCTGAAACCTACGTGATAAGTTCAGGGGCTATTCTTTCCGTTCAGCTGATATGTTTTCTTTGTGCAATACACGTAGACTCATTGTGTTTGCATTAACCTGTATCTTGCAACAGCTGTAGAATGGATAGTCTATATTGAATGTGAACAGGTAGATAAGTAGTTAACCATATGCATATAAATATAAAAAAAACTCCACACTGAAAACATGCGTTGAACCCTCCTGAAATTGGGCATAGTAATTGACATTGAACATAGGTAGAGCTTAAAGTTTAACCAAAGTAAATGCAAGTGAATTATACAAACACCAGCAGTTATTACAGTGGGGTAACAAAAAGAATAATAAAAATATAAAAATCTGTAAACGTTCTTCAAGAACAATAATATACTAATAAATACTGACTATGATAAGGAATTAAATCACCTTTTTCCTTATTACAGAGGATCACAAGAAAAGGAATAAAACACTAAATAATCTCAAAAGGCTTCTAGTGATGTTTTAGAGAATGTTTTTCAATTAAATAGAAGATTGCATCCAAATCCCTCAGGCTATCATCATGATCTGGAAAACAATAAATGTTTTATATGGCCATTAATGCTTCAATAAATATAATGAGTAGCTTAAAATAAACCCAAATTAACTTATCTTCAGCATCTTTCACTTTTTGTAACTAGGAGGTGGAGAACCGATTGAAAAACAGTTTTCAAACCTCTTTTTGTTCAGAAGACAAACTTGTCAGCTTTTCCAACAGGGACAGCATCATTAAACTTTGGAGCATGTAATTTAGATCCTGGAATGCATCGAGGGCTCATTTTTGTAGTATCAAGAAACATCTCGTTGTGATGGCTTTTTTTTTTTTCCTTACACCTTCAACTTCCTTACCACACTTTAGGAAGGGCAAAGATGAGTAATTTCCTAGATGGGCAAAATGCGAGTGGCCAAGTTCATATTACAAAGAAAAAAGCAGATTGTAGAATTTTACAAGGGCAAAAGATGGATAATCTAATTTAGCAATCTCTGATATGGTCTGCTTATTTTAATTTGCAATACTCGGGGAAGAAATGTACCTATTCTGCAGTAAGTTCCGTTCTTTAACTGGAAAAAATATCTTGCAGCCTAAGCATGTGCTTAACACGGGACAGGAGGTGGATGGTTAGCACACTGATGGGATGTTGGGTGTAAATTCAGCTATGATAGTCTAGGCTGTTTCCCAGCAGACTCCGGTTATATAGGAATATGTTGATTGTACAAGGTCATAGGGTGATGCAGGCAGGAAGCTTCTAGCTAAGGAAACTGCAAATAAGCAACCACAGCAGAAGACCTTGAGTTAGAGAAAGAGGTGATGCATGTAGCTCATAAAATTTCTTGAGGCAAAAAAAAAGCTGAAATGATTGGAAGGGAAAAGTTTAGAAACCAAGTCTATCAGCTGTTATCAAACTGTCCTAGACTGCTTGCTGTCATTTCTGTCCAGCTATTAAGTAGGTACCTGTTAATAGCAAGTTTTCTAGGCAACTTCCTAAAATCAGTTTCAAACCTGAAGGATCTTCAGGGTTCCATGAACTAATTCTGAGGGATCTGTAAAAGTAAGATAAGCTGTTTGTCATAACAGTGGCTATACTAGTTCAGATTAAAGATAGACGTAGTACATAACATGATGCTGCATAGGGTCCTGAATGTGTTCAGAGCCAGAATTTATGGAGTCAACCCACCTGACCCCTACCACCCCCCCAAAAAAGGCTGTTTAGGAATACATGACCAGTTATGGTCAGAATGTTAAATTTTACAGCATCATATCAGCCATTTCAGTGTTACTGCCTTTTTATCACTTTTATTTTTATGTCTATATATTTATGTACATGTATTTAATTTGTAGCAATCAATGGAGGTCTATAAAGTACTATAGAAAAAAGAAAAGACTAACACTGAAATTGGACTAGATTTAGAAGAGGGAGGAAATAGCATCATATGAGGCAGAAAATTCCTATTGACGTGATTTAATTTAAATTGCTAAAAACCAGGAGCTAGCATGGCAAAAAAATGTAAAGCTTTTTTTGTATTACAAAGCTTTGGCATTGAAAGTGGTTTGGAACTGACTGGCAATTCACAGATTGGGCAACGTGCAAGTCCCTGCGCTAAGCACCTTCTCATATGTTATTGTGTACTTCATGGCAATAGCACAGTGCTATCTTGCAGTGATCCATTCTCCACCACACATCCCAGTGGTTAAGCTATAGTTAGAAGCTGCCATATGCCAGGGTTGCTTGAAATACAGGACTTTCAATATCATGTGTAGGTAGATCTGTGCCCGCATATTTCTTCCCAGGTTCTGGTTCAGTGCTTTCTTGCAGCTCCTATCAATCACATTGCCTGCTGTATCAGAGGATTCACATGATAGAAGGCAAGTCCTGTTGTCCATGCTTATACGTGGAAGTACAGGAGAAGCAAAGTGTTCTAGTTATTATATTTCTGTAGTGGAGTTGAAAAGAAAAAATCTCTTTGTATTATCAGAGAAAACTCATCACTTCAAAACTTGGGAACAGAAGTTAAAGTAATACAGTTCACAATCCATTAGAAATTTCTGTGCCAAGATAATGAAGAAAGGTAGTAATCTGCTGTTAGTTAAAATAGCAATAACTTTTCAATGATCTTTCCTTTATTTCTGCAGATAATTAAGGAGCTGAAAGATGAAGACTGGAATATGGGCAATATTGTGCATACATTAACAAACAGACGGTATGAAGAAAAATACATTGCATATGCAGAGAGTCATGACCAGGTATTTTATCTGTTTGTTTGTTTATATTTAAACAAGTAAAAGATGAGGTTTAGAGGTTTGGTGGGTTTTGTTTTTTAAAAATGAGGCAGAGTTGAGAAGGATAGGCAACAATTTCAGAGATAAGTAGATCTGGACTACTGCTTGGTTTTTTTGGTTGGGTTTTCTTGTGGGCTTTTTTTGTTGTTTTGTTTTGATCCCTCTTTTTAATTAAGGAATCCTGCTTGGAGCGTGTGGGTGGTGTTGTTTTTCAGTTTTGTTTTTAAGAAATGAGTCCCAGCTTCTTGGTTTGCCTGCCTGTCATAGGACATAGGAGGATATATGAATGCATATAATCCATACTTTTGAAAATCTGGTTTCCATAAAGTAAGCTGGAGCACTATTTATGACAAGCATAAACAATATTGCAATTTAGCAAATTTGTTCACTGAATCAGTGTTTCCAGCTGTTGTATTCCCGTCAAGAATATATTTCCTCTCTGAAAGTATTGCAAACATCCTGTTTTGAGATCTAAATGAAATATTCTTTAACAGTTTGGTTCAAAACACAGCAATTGTAATGGTTCTGTATACAGAAAAATGAAAAAGTAATGATGAGTTTGGATAATACTCACCTCCCACAATCTTTGTAATGGTTGTATCTGAAGAATCAGAAAACACATTGGTTGAGTATTTAAAATGTTAGAAAATTGCTTTTATTTTTTAAGTAACCTACCTTCAACTTTCCTCTACGTAATAGAGGTTGATACTCTATTTCCTATACCTTCTATAATAAACGTCAACAGAAGTGTCCAAAACAAGGCCTATATTTTATTTTAAAAAAGAGAATTTTGAGTTTATCCTCTTCATTTTGTGTACCTATTTACATTCTTATCTCAGAGACTGTTACACAGTATTCACTTAAGGCATGAGAGAAGAGTCCTATTCCTGGTAAAGAACTTCAGGTATTACTTAGAAATGCATATTATTCTGTGATTATTTGCTTTTGTAAAAGCTGATTCTTCATCCTAAAGCATGACATATAATATTACGGTTGCTGTTCTTTTATTTCATGCTGGATTTTATCAATTGAGTTGTTTTCCATATCACTATGTATTTTGGGGTTAGAATCTCATACTTGAGAAGATCTATTTGTTTTGAATTTAAAAAAAAAAAAAAGACTATTGCAGATGTACACCAGGATGATACGTGAAAAGTAGGATAGAAAAACAAAATGGGAGTGTAGATAAAATTCAGTCTGAAGATACTTGAAGTGATGCACATGAAGGGCTGAAACGATTCTAGTTTCTTATATGTTGTAATGGGCTACAAGCTGACTATTATCAGTCAACAGGGCCTCGTGGTTATGACTTGTGTGAAAACAGCAACTCAATGCTAATAGCTTTCAAAAAAGCAAATACAGTACTGGAATTATTATGAATGGAATGGGGAGCAAAGAGCAAAATCAGTATGCCACTGTAGTCTTTCATGGTTTGTGTGCACCTTGAATGTTGGAGGCAGATTTGGTCCTGTATATCAAAGGACATACAGCATAACTGGAAAAAATGCTGTGAGAGAGTTGGTAAGAATAATAGCAGTTGTGGATTGGTTTTCATAAGAAGAAAACTAAATACACTAAGATTCTTCAGGGTAGAAGAGAGATCACTGAAGGGGGAAGGATAATGGTTTATAAAAATGGCTGGCATAAAAAACATGAAGAGGGAACATTTATCTTCTAATAGAACGATTAGGGGATACTAAATAATACTAACAAATGTCACATTCTGAGTCCAGAGAAGAGATGTTCACTGCAGTCTTCAGTCTTGCCATCATTGCATAGGAATTATTTTTTTTAAAAGATAGTTTTTTATTGAGGGAATCATCTATATATGCTGTTACACTGCTAGTTGGAAAACTAAAGGATGATGGTGCTTTTCAGCTAGACCTGTTTACAACTCATCTGTCCCTCTGGAATCTAGTGAGTTTTCATGTTAGAATATAAAGTGAGAATTGGGCTAATTGAATAAAAAATAGCTATTTTGCATACAAATGCTCCAAAATGTTTTCAACTACCTGCATGCTAATATATTACAATAATCCTTGTTACATAGCATTTGTGTGGCCTTTCTCGAGTAACAGTAAGCACTAGCAAGTTAGTAATTCAGTCACTGTTTTTAGACATAATTACTAGTTTGTTTTTCTCTTGTGTGAAATCACAGAAAACCAATCACATTCTTGATTGCATATAAATGAGTGTTTCATATTCAGTCTGCATCTTTAAATCAGGAGTGTTGTTAATAGCCCTTTATTTGTACATCCCAGGAACTGAGATGTTTGCTTTCTTATTTTCTGTGTTTTCTATAAAAATTCCAAAATGGTAGGTCACTTGTGGCATATGGAGTTGACACTAATATGTCATATTTGATATCTGTAGGCAAAAAGGTTCTTGGGAGTAATCGAGCAGTTTGAACCCATCAGGTGAAATGTAGGACCACAACAGGGGTTAGACAGCTATTAGTTTATTGATCACATACTCGTACTCCAATCAATGTGAGGAGCCGCAGTAACCGTGTGGAGGGTTGTAAGGGGAAAACAAACGGTCGGGTCTGGCATCCAGTCAAGGCTCAGCTCCAGGACGTTCCTGCATCAGTTTACATACTTTCTGTTTTTGGCAGCAGATTATATATGTCACACCCATGTGACTACACGTAACACAATACAAAGTTATAGTAATTAGAAGGTTAGAGTCACTGTGACCTCATGATCGTCAGCGGTGGCAGGATGTTTTCTTTGTGAATAGAGACCAGATCATGCACACCAAGCCGTGTCCTTGACTCCTCGCCAGTCTTCCAAGTCCTCCCTTTATGATAGAGTGACTGCTTTAAAAAAAATGTATTAGAAACACTTCTAGTATACCCAAGGGTTTTCTTCACTTTTTTTTTTTTTTTGAATTGTTATAGGCACTTGTTGGTGATAAGACATTGGCGTTTCGACTGATGGATGCAGAGATGTATACAAACATGAGTGTGCTCTCGCCTCTTACTCCAGTTATTGATCGTGGAATACAGCTTCATAAAATGATTCGTCTCATTACTCATGCACTTGGAGGAGAGAGCTATCTGAACTTCATGGGTAAGTAACCTTAGGAACAAGTCTTTCATTTTCTCATCTACAGAAAGCTTGGCAGGGAAATAAAACAGTCTGACATGATCTTACATCCACAGTATTTATCACCATGCTGAAGTTTGGAGCATAAATGCTTTTATAAATATTTAGTACAAAAGGTAATATGCATTGTTTTTCTGTCTGTAAGATGTATTATAAGATAAGAAAATACAATCAATGGGGTTCCTAATTGTAAGAGAAATAACTTTTAAAAATGTGGTAAGCTTTAGTTCACATTACTCTGATTTACAACTCAGACTAGTATTTTAATTGCTGTTCTGCAAGTTTGTCAGGTGGTGAACCTTGCCTTACACAGCTGGGTTGTCTTTCATCTCTGTTCTTCTACTCTCCTAAACTTTTTAGGGTAACAGTAAATTTACTAAAGATAGCTCTGTGCTTATTTCAGTTATTGTCAGGAAGTAATCTGGCATCAGTTGAATTATGTTTCATTGCTTCTTAGTCAAGAGCAGGGGCTTAATGAGGGAGACAAGGGCAAATCACAGAGACAGGCACATCCTGCTATCGAAGCGGGGAAATAGTAAGGGTTAGCAATACTTTCTTTTTCTTCATAAGCTGTAAAATACAACTTTTGCATTGCTTCCAATAGTTAATCTCATTTAATCAGCAAGTTACAGTTCCATGTAGTCATCTTAAAAGTTGAATGTTGTTCTTAGTTTTATACAAAATGCTGAAGCTATTTATGCTTGATGCTCTTTATGCTATTCATGATATTCATTCATTCCTTAATTTCTTTGCAAAATAATCCTTTATAGTAAAAATCATAGTTCTGTAATGTGGTGTGACAAGTTCTGTGTAGCAGTTGTGATTGTCTCATGGGGACAAAAAGGTTGAAATCATGCTGTAAATGACCATCTCAGTTTTCTGACAACAAAACACTTGAAAATTATAGAAGTTTTAGCTTAATACTGCCTTCAACTTCTATTGTTAAATGTTTTGTATTATCAAGTTAAAGGGGGTTGTTGGATGTATATTGCTCTTCTTCCTTGATAGTGTATTTTAAAATACATTTTTCTAATTAAAAAAATGGAGAATATTAATAAGGCAATGGTGGCATTTGATTTAAGCATGTCTGTACTGATATATGTTTTTCTCCTTGGTATTAGAAGAACGCTCAAAAAAGGCTATATTCGTGGGTTTTCTTAAAAACAATTAAAGCAACTTAAGTACAGAACAAATCAATTCAGTATATGGTATACTAGCAAAACTATTGCTTTCAATAAAATGCAGAAATTTTTCCCAAGAGTGAAAAAGAGTTAATGAAATAAATATTTATTATGTGTGTATTCAGGCACCAAAATGTGCAAGGTATGATGTGTGCGCTTCTGTTCAAACTAGTGATACTACAATAGTTAAGGAAGCAGGTGTTTAAAAAATGCGCCACCTAAACTGCAGATGTCTCTGGCCCAGATTGACTTGGTAAGGTTAGAAAAATGATCAGTAATTCAACGTGGCATGTTAAATCCAGTGTGTCAATGCAGGTTGATTGAGCAATTAATATTGCGTATCCTTGAGTACTACAAATGTTTCGGTAACTATGTTATAGTTTGCTATATGTAAAAGGTGAAAAGATTGTAATAAATGTTGGAGGAGAAAGCATATAAATTCAGAATGCTTGCAATCTGGTGTACTTAAAATGCACATGGCAGCATGCTATGTAGTTAAGCAAATACAGTGACAAATTAATTCTTTAACTTTCAGTTTTGAGTGAATGCCAAGAGTGAGGAAGAAAAGCCTCCTGTGGGCTGGGGGGAGGAGTGGAAATCTCCTTTCACAACATCTGGAAAAGGCACTCCACATGCCTCTGTGCTTCCCTAGGTCCTTCCATAAATGTCTTGTACCTTCTTTTTCTGAAAACAAAGACACCAAAGCAACATACTGCTTTCTCAATGCTTTGCTCACCTTAAGGAAAAACAAACAACTTCTAAAAATATGTTGTATGAGGAGTGGAAATCTGTTTTCTCAAATGTATACTGGAATTTCGCTTTAAAGATCTTGAATAATATTTAATTACACCTATGTTGGAGTATCATTTGTACTCCATCCATGCAAGGAGATTCTGGTTGAGAGAAGTTGTACCCCATTGAGCACCTAACACTGATTGTGGCTTTCTCCCATGTTTCTCACTTTTCATTCTGGATGATTCTCTGTTCTTCTTGCAGGCATCTATAAGAAACCACTGCAAAAACCCATGAAGTTGTTATTATTTTTCATGTTTCTTGATGTTTAATTTTCACTGAATGCTTTTATTTTCCTTCTCAATTGCATATATCCCAGTATAAGCAATCAGTGATGTATGCAAACTTAAATGTGAATAGGAAAGTTTTGTCATTTCAGTAAATTGGTTCACTTGTAACACAAACCATTGGGAGCATTCTTTCTTCTGGTCTGTGTTTCAGTTTTCTGTGCAGCTTTGCAAGTACTCTCCAGGGCTTCATGGGCCCATCTGGCATGGAAGACTTAACCTAGAAAGCGAAAACCTCCATATGCTTGGCTGAAAATGAGCACGACAATGATAAACGTCCTGCTGTAGTGAATGAACACTCTGGAAGGCCAGTTTGTTTAATAGTAAAAAAAGTAGCAATTGTTTTGAAACTTGCGCTGTGTCCAAATCCTCTGCTTTCAAAGCAGGTAGGGAGTAACAATCCTAATGCAGCTGTAGTTTGTTCAACCCAACTCCTGTTTTAAGACAAGAGATTTTAGTACTGAGACTGGCCAGTAGTGGTCAGAAGATGTCATTCAACTTCAGGAAATCACGAAAATTACAAGTTCTTCTGCACAATGCTTTAGTAGGGGCACAGGTGATGCTTCTTTAAGGGTTTCCTCTGCCACAGCTAAGCTTCAATGAAGATGTTGACATAGTACACATCTGATTGTCTGAACTTACATGACACTTAAAGAGAAAGCCCTAAGCATTCACAGTGTGTGCCTATATTAAATAGTGGAAGTAATTTTATTGTTGGAAATAATAGAGAAAATTCTCTATTCATACTCAAGTATTTTTTTTGTAGTCATACTGTTATTGAAATAAATATGCATCTAATATTAACTTAATTTAAACCAGAAATGTATGTGGAAAAATACTTGGAGACATAGATCTTTGCCCTCTCTAATATGAAGTTTTGAAAACAAATCCAAAATAAAACCCCTGTATCTGACTAAAATTCTTTATTGTCAATTTAATCCCCTACAAAATAACAAAAAGGCTTAAGATTTGAGTCTACTTCCTCAATTGCTAAATAAGGACTAACAGAAGTTGTTATAAGACTTCTACAATACTACACAAACCTTCTGATCTCACCTTGAAAATAAAGCAACCACTGTTGTTACCAACTGGACAATGTTGAACTTCAGTTTAAAGACTATCACATACTTCCTGAAAATAATAGTTGAACTTACCACTACAAAACTGTTCTGTCTGTACATTGTTTCATTTTCCTTTGGCTTCATTTTCCATCCTTTCCCTGAAGAAAAGCTGCAGACAACTGTAATTGTTTCTTCCCCTTATTTTTTTTTTCCTCTTGCTCATTGCCTGTGCCCTGCACTTGCATAGCTCTTTCCCAGTCCCACAGGGTTTCTGTCAGTTCTTCAGTGAACTTGCTTCCGTGTTCCCTCTTTACCTTGCAAGATACATCTGCTTGTCTATCTAGATTTAGACAAACAAGGGTAGCTGGTTTCTGTCCTAGAATAGACAAAAGATGCAGCCCAAGGGCCCTTAAATAGCATATTACGTCCTTGGAATCCTTTATAGCACAAATGTCTACTGTTTTATGCCACTGTAGGGTCTTGCTTTTCAGCTTGCTAACAATCATTTTCTTGCTTCCTTCTTCATTTTAAATTGGCTTAAACTCAAATCTATTGATTTAAATGAAGATTAGTTCCTACATGAACTTCTAGCGCTATTTTTCATTACTTTTCTATAGTAAAACAACTCTTAATTAGAACTCCAGAGACTAGGTCTCTCTCCCTGAGAAACAACTTTTATATATATTTATATATATATATATATATATATATATATATATATAAACTAGAAAATGATTTGCAATAACTAGAACATTTTTTGCAATCATGAGCATTGACTGATGGTGTTAATGTTTGGGTTGACATTTACCTCTGTTTCACTAATATCAAATCCATCTGTAAAGCTTCCTTGTTAGGTCATTTACACAGTAGTTTATCTACTTTCTCTACACTTAGGGGGTTTTTTTGATGTGCTTAAACAGTTTCTTCTCTAATGGTTTGGTATGATGAGACCTTGTTCTCTCTTTGGCCTTAAAAATAAAATAAAATGCTATGCATCATCTATTCCTTTGAGTATTTTGGAGAAAGAAACTTTTTTTTTTTTTTTTAAACTGCAGGATTTTGTGAACAGAAGGCTTGTGAAAATATGTTGACAAACAAGAAAAGGAATGGTGCAAAAACTGTATAGTAGCACCAATATCAGGGTGGGAAATGTGTGTACGATTTACTTTAAGAATATGAAATAAGGATTTGAAATAAAAATGATACAACATAACTTACAATATAAATGAGAATATTAGTTAAAACAGAATCTGAAATACTTCTTTTTCTATTTATTCTAGATAAAAAGAAATTTTATCAGGAACAAGGATATTTAGCTTAAACCTAAGGGGTTTTCTTTTCTTACACATGTTGCAAGCAAATCACTTTTTCTGTACACTTTCTTACCCATATTACTCCTGTGCACTGGTTACAGTGTGACTTTCTAGACCATGATCTAAGAAATGGCTGTGCAAGAGCCAGGGAGAACTTTAAACTAGTTCCCTTAAGTCAGCTCCTTTTGATAAACAACCTTGAAGTGCTCAGTTGGTAAAGACTCCAGACTAGGATACGTAGTTTGAAGTCATCCTTCTTAATATGCTTACCTAGTATACCTGGCAAATGTGCTTTCTGTGCCACCAGTTCTACCAGGTGCTTTAATTTCA